AAAACAAAGCCAGTGATTATACCAAAATATGATCTAAATAATATCTCAACAGAATTTATTGACAACATAAGAACAGATTCGCACTACTAAGCATAATAGACCAAGAACCAGAGGAACTATGGTCTGAAGCCAGGGACATAATAAAAGAAGAATGAGGACAGACATTGTCAATAAACAAAAAAAGAGAAAAAATCTATGGATGACAGAAAAAAACACTACAAGCAATAAAGAAAAGAAGAGAAGGAAAACAACAGGTAGATAGGAACAAAATGCAACAGTACAATAGTTTGTGCACAAAGATAAAGAAAATAATACAGCAACCAATGCAGAGAAATAGAAGAAAACAACAGAAAGGGAAGAACATGAGACCTATTAAACAAGATCTGAGAAATCACAGGAAAATTCAAATGAAGGACAGGGATGCTCTATGACAATAAAAATAACATAATTCAAGACCAGGAAGGAATAAAAAGACATTGGATGAAACACAGAAAAGCATTATACAAAAGAGATGACAAAATGAAGGACACATGGAATGAAGAGCCATATGAAGATGAACCCCAAATTCTAAAAATCGAGGTGGAAACTGCAATAAGAGACATAGCGAAAAACAAATCACCAGGAACAGATGATATTCCAATTGAATTGCTGCAATCCACACTGAAAGAGTTAACTCTAGTGCTAACAAACATATATCAACAGATATGGAAAACAAAACAATAGCCAACAGATTGGAAGTGATTAATATACATCCCCATCCACAAAAAGGGAGACACAAGAGACTGTAACAACTATAGGCCCATAGCACTGTAACAACTATAGGCCCATAGCACAGAAGCAAAATCAAAACTCTGCAACAGACTCCAACCATACAGGGAGAGAGAAATCCCAGAGATTAAAGCAGGGTTCAGGAAAGGAAGAGGCACTAGGGATCACATTGCAAACATACGATGGCTAATGGAGTGCACCAGGGAATTCCGAAAGAAAATCAGCATGTGTTTTATAAACTATAGCAAAGCTTTTGACTACATAGATCATGAAAGGTTATGGATTGCCTTTAAAGACATGGAGGTGCCAACATATCTGATAGTCATGATGAGGAATCTGTACTCAGGACAACAGACTGCTGTCAGAACAGAAGACAGATAAACAGAATGGTTCCCAATTGGCAAAGGAGTCAGACAAAGCTGTATCCTTTCACCCTATCTGTTCAACTTGTATGCAAAGCATAATATAAGAAAGGCAGGCTTGGACACAGAAGGAAGAGGCATGACAATAAGAAGGAATATCAACAATTTAAGATATGCAGATGACACAATAGTACTAGCAAAAAATCTCACAGACCTGGAACACCTGCTAAGGAAAATCAAAGAGGAAAATGCAAAGGCAGGCTTAATGTTGAACATAAAGAAAACAAAAATAATGACCATCGAGGACCTTCACAAGTTCAACTTAATATTTCTGTTTTTCCATCTGCCACAACATATTAAAAATTAAATGACTCCCTAAATGAAAAGCTCTGTATCCATCAATGGAAATACAGCAGGGAGGAGGCCAACCAGACCTCCTGGAGAAGAGAGCTGCACACCTTGGGAGTCTCCACTAAGAAAAATTTTCTCCTGTGCCCTCATCAAACATGCCTGTGATGGTGGTGGGACAAAGAGAAAGCCCTCTCCTGCAGATCCTAAAGCCTAGGCTGGCTTATAGAGGGAGACACAGTTTTTCAGATGGTCTGAAAGTATAAGGCTTTAGAATTCATAACTAGGAAAAGAGGGAGACTGAACTGCGGTTGGATTGATTCAATCAAGGAAACCATGGCCCCAAATTTGTAAGTCCTGGGTAGGCAGGTGATGACAGGGGCTTTTGGAAGTATCTCATTCATCAGTTCTCCATAAATCAAAGCTGACTGGAGAGCAAACAACATCACCTCTCAAAAATACCTGCTCTTGGTGGATGTTAAATCTGCTAGTAATGGTGTATTGACTCTAAGGGGGGATGCAGACCAGGGCGTCCAGGACGCCCTGGTCCGG